AAAAAAAAATACATTAGCAAAACAAAAGACTAGAGAGGGACTGAACATCAGGGATTGCTGCATTTGGAAATGAAGGGAGATTAACAGTGCAGAAGCAAGTGAAAAGACATCTGAGGATGAAAAGGAACAGTTAAGAGAGTTAAACAATCTCCAGAATATAATTTGGACCAAGAAATAAAGAAAAATGGTGAATTAGAGAAAGATGAAACTTTTGGAAATTACAAAAAAGATTATTAAATCAGTATGACAATGGAGAAATTAGTTTCCAAGGAAATTTAAAAGCCAGTTGATTAGAAATGGCTATTCAATTTAATATACTAAAAGATAAGATTGATGATTTTACAGCAAAACTTCATCTTTCAAACAATATAGAAGGAATGTGTAAAACTAAAGAAAGAATTCAAGTTGGAACAAGAAGTAGTCAATCTCAAAAGTCATATGGAAATAAATATGGTGGAACTTGTTCAAGTTGAACAGTATAAATAGGAGATTGAAGGAAGAGCAAGACAGGGTATAGTACAATAGTTAAAAGAAGTCAGTCTGTTTTTAAAGGTTTATTATAATGTGCTTTATTTCATTTTATTGCAAATTATATTTGGGATGTAAACATTATCTTTATTCTCTCTACTTCCCTTATAATAGTTTCATTTGTAGATTTCTAGAAGGAAGATAGCATCTGTTTCTCCTTTTGAATATTTTAATTTTCACTATTATTACAACTAAATTGATCTTTCAGAGTAATGATTCATATTAAAGAACCATTTGATTATATTAAGACCTGTTGGTATAAAATAAGACCATTAGGAGGGAAAGATAAAAATTGTGATTGAGAAATCACACCATATTCTTAAATTGTTAAAAAAAAAAATATAACATTAGTACTATGCCAGCAGGTCGGTATGGTGGTTAAGGCACTGAATCCCACATGGCTGACTTCCATAGTTTGACTCTTAGACCTGGTGGCTTGAAAAACATGCCAGGCACGTGTGCCTGCATGCCCCAAATCCCAAGAGGATATTGGAGAAGAGATTATGGCATGACTATCCCTCCACCCGCCTCCAGAGGGTGATTTCTCACATTCCCTCTGTCTTTCTTCGGAGAGGTCACATGCTCTATAGCAAAAAACTAAAATAAAAATTAAAAAATTGCTAATATTCTGTTATAAGTTTAATATCTTTATTAATATTAGGTTGTGTGGAAAGTCATTTATTTTTCTATGAAAAAATGCATCATGACTTTTCCAACAACCTATTAAATGGGATTGCTTTTTAAAAACTTCAAACTATAGAATTTGTCCAGTGAGATGTAAAAGTAGTCCTCCTCTGCTTGCTGCCCCCACTCTTGAGAGGTAACTACATTCTTGCAAAGTTTTTGGCCTTTTTGGAAAATTCAGGTTTTCTTTTTTCAATGTAATGACAAAAAAATTGTACATTGTATTCTATGGATAGTAAAGTATTTTATTTATGGTTTTGTCTTTTTTTCTGTCATTACGTTGTTTGTATTTGTCTTGGTTTCTTACACTTGTCAGACATTTAGCTGGTTTAGTAGACCTTTGAAAGAAGCAACTCATGGTGTTACTTGTTAAATACTGTTTATTGGTTTGATTTTCTAATTTTAAAAACTTTTAACTTTATGTTTCCTTGATTTTCCTTTCTTTATTTTTTGAGTTGAATGCTTAGTTACTGTCAGTACTGTTTTCAGTTAAGACATTTGGTGCTGTGATTTTTTTTTTTTTAACTTGAAATACTCAAGTCTAGTGCAGAGATTCAAAACGTGATTATCTTTTTTTTTAAATTTTTTAATTTATTCATTTATTTTAATTTGACCAGAGAAAGAGACATACACAGGATTGGTGGGGGGGAGTGAGAAAGCAAGCCAACAGATCCAGGACTCGAACCATGGTCAGCCACGTGGAAGTGTCCAGTGTCTTAACCACTGTGCCACCTGCTGGTCCCTGAAAATGTGATCATCTTAACACCAGTCTTCTTAGTGAATGTATAGAATTGCTAGTCATAAGAAACAGATATTGGGACCAGCAGATGGCGAAATGGCTACACTGCTGTACTCCCATGCAGCCGACCGTGGTTCGAGTCCCGGACCTAGTGGCTTATACTCACACCAGGCGCATGTGCATGTGCATGTGTGCCCAAGATCCCGAGAGGAGAATGGAGGAGAAGGGATTGTGGTGTGGACATATCCCTGGAGGGTGATGTACTCCTTCTGTCTTTCTGTCTCTCTTTCTTGCAAGCTTACGTGCCCTATAGCAAAAACTACTCCAAGTAAAATAAAATATATTAGCCTTGTGATTGTTTTGATATCTTCTGAAGCACTTTACTGCTTTCATTTTCCTAAAGCAGTACTTTATACTCTTTGTTTATGAAAACTAGTAGTTCTTTTTTTTGTTTTTTGTTTTTGCTATAGGGTGCGTGCGCTCGCCAGAGAGACAGAGAGACAGCAAGAAATCACCCCCCCAAGGGGGGATGGCCACGTTGCAATCCCTTCTTCTCCATTCTCCTCTCGGGATCTTGGGCACGCACGCACACGTGCCCGGTGTGAGTTTAAGCCACCAGGTCCAGGATTGAGAAATCACACCATATTCTTAAATTGTTAAAAAAAAAAATATAACATTAGTACAGTGCCAGCAGGTCGGTATGGTGGTTAAGGCACTGAATCCCACATGGCTGACTTCCATAGTTTGACTCTTAGACCTGGTGGCTTGAAAAACATGCCAGGCACGTGTGCCTGCATGCCCCAAATCCCAAGAGGATATTGGAGAAGAGATTATGGCATGACTATCCCTCCACCCGCCTCCAGAGGGTGATTTCTCACATTCCCTCTGTCTTTCTTCGGAGAGGTCACATGCTCTATAGCAAAAAACTAAAATAAAAATTAAAAAATTGCTAATATTCTGTTATAAGTTTAATATCTTTATTAATATTAGGTTGTGTGGAAAGTCATTTATTTTTCTATGAAAAAATGCATCATGACTTTTCCAACAACCTATTAAATGGGATTGCTTTTTAAAAACTTCAAACTATAGAGTTTGTCCAGTGAGATGTAAAAGTAGTCCTCCTCTGCTTGCTGCCCCCACTCTTGAGAGGTAACTACATTCTTGCAAAGTTTTTGGCCTTTTTGGAAAATTCAGGTTTTCTTTTTTCAATGTAATGACAAAAAAATTGTACATTGTATTCTATGGATAGTAAAGTATTTTATTTATGGTTTTGTCTTTTTTTCTGTCATTACGTTGTTTGTATTTGTCTTGGTTTCTTACACTTGTCAGACATTTAGCTGGTTTAGTAGACCTTTGAAAGAAGCAACTCATGGTGTTACTTGTTAAATACTGTTTATTGGTTTGATTTTCTAATTTTAAAAACTTTTAACTTTATGTTTCCTTGATTTTCCTTTCTTTATTTTTTGAGTTGAATGCTTAGTTACTGTCAGTACTGTTTTCAGTTAAGACATTTGGTGCTGTGATTTTTTTTTTTTTAACTTGAAATACTCAAGTCTAGTGCAGAGATTCAAAACGTGATTATCTTTTTTTTTAAATTTTTTAATTTATTCATTTATTTTAATTTGACCAGAGAAAGAGACATACACAGGATTGGTGGGGGGGAGTGAGAAAGCAAGCCAACAGATCCAGGACTCGAACCATGGTCAGCCACGTGGAAGTGTCCAGTGTCTTAACCACTGTGCCACCTGCTGGTCCCTGAAAATGTGATCATCTTAACACCAGTCTTCTTAGTGAATGTATAGAATTGCTAGTCATAAGAAACAGATATTGGGACCAGCAGATGGCGAAATGGCTACACTGCTGTACTCCCATGCAGCCGACCGTGGTTCGAGTCCCGGACCTAGTGGCTTTTACTCACACCAGGCGCATGTGCATGTGCATGTGTGCCCAAGATCCCGAGAGGAGAATGGAGGAGAAGGGATTGTGGTGTGGACATATCCCTGGAGGGTGATGTACTCCTTCTGTCTTTCTGTCTCTCTTTCTTGCAAGCTTACGTGCCCTATAGCAAAAACTACTCCAAGTAAAATAAAATATATTAGCCTTGTGATTGTTTTGATATCTTCTGAAGCACTTTACTGCTTTCATTTTCCTAAAGCAGTACTTTATACTCTTTGTTTATGAAAACTAGTAGTTCTTTTTTTTGTTTTTTGTTTTTGCTATAGGGTGCGTGCGCTCGCCAGAGAGACAGAGAGACAGCAAGAAATCACCCCCCCAAGGGGGGATGGCCACGTTGCAATCCCTTCTTCTCCATTCTCCTCTCGGGATCTTGGGCACGCACGCACACGTGCCCGGTGTGAGTTTAAGCCACCAGGTCCAGGACCCGAACCGCGGTCAACTACATGGGAGTCCAGCGACATAGCCATTACGCTAACTATTGGTCCCCAAAACTAGTAGTTTTAATTCTAGCCAACTTTTATTTGTCATTCTCTAGGGTTTTTTTGGGGGGGGGGGGGGGGGGCTTTTTTGTTTATTTGCTATAAGGCATGTACTCTCGGCAGAAACAGACAGACAGAAAGTGAGAAATCACCACCCAGGACGGTGGCCACGCCACAGTTCCTTCTGCATTCTCCTCTTGGGATCTTGGGCATGCATGCACATGCGCCCAGCATGAGTTTAAGCCACCGGGTCCGGAACTCAAACCGTGGTTGACTACATGGGAGTCCAGCAACATAGCCATTACGCCAACTGCTGGTCCCCATTCCTCAGTGCTTTAAAAGCATATATAAAGTTTTTTTTTTTTTTTGAGAGGTTTTTACTGTAGGACCTATGCGCTTGCCAGAAAGACAGAGAGACAGAAAGTGAGAAATCACCCCCCAAGGGGGATGGCCTTGCCACAGTCCCTTCTCCTCCATTTTCTCGGGATTCAATCATTATTATTTTTATTTGCCACAGGGCATGTATACGCACCAAAGAGAGAAAGCTGCCAGGTCTGGGACTCGCACTGTGGTCAGCCATGTGGGAGTCCAGTGTCTTAATCAGCATGCCACCTGTTGGTCCCCTTGAAGCGTTTTCTTTTTGTGGGGGGAAGATTTTTTGCTATAGGGCACATGTGCTCTCCAGAAAGAGAGACAGAGAGCGAGAAATTACCCCCTGGGGGCATGGCCACGCCGCAATCCCTTCTCCTCCATTCTCCTCTCAGGATCTTGAGCGTGGATGCACACTCGCCCAGCGTGTTTAAGCCACCGGGTCCAGGACTCAAACCACCGTCCCACTATATGGAAGTCCAGCAACATAACCATTATGCCAACTGCTGGTCCCAAAAGCATATGTTTTTTGAAAGAATTATTTATCATTATTTTTTTTTATTTGCCAATATGTGCTCAACAGAGAGAGAAAGCTACCAGGTCTGGGGCTCGAACTGTGGTCAGCCATGTGGGAGTCTAGTATCTTAACCAGCATGCCACCTCCTGGTCCCCTTGAAGCATATTTTTTTTAAAAGTCTACGTTTGAGGACCAGGAGGTGGTATGGTTAAGGCTCTGGGCTGGACTCCCACGTAACTATCCAAGGTTCCAGTTTCTGACCCGGTGTCTTGAAAATCATGCTGGGGTTGCGTTTTGTGTGTGTGCCCCAAGTTCCAAGCGGGGAATGGAGAAGCGATTGTGGTATGGCCATCCCCCTGGGGGACTGGTTTTTCATTTACCTTTCCTCTGTCTCTGGCGAGTACACACGACCTATGACAAAAACCTAAAAAAAATCTGTTGTTGATATTGAGGGAAAAAAATTACATATTTTTAAGGATGGTCTTCAAAGCCAAGACATCGTTAGCAGTAAAATAGCAGTGGTTTCATGTGACCTGTACATCTTCTATATTTTGTCGTTTTGTTTTGGCCAGCTAGATAGATGATCAGCTGAACGCTCTCTTGAAGGCATTCCAGCTAACAGAGGAGAACACCAGGCTCCGCCATCTCACCTGCTCCCTTATTGAAGACATAGCAGCCGCATATTTTCCAGACTGCACAGTCAGACCCTTTGGCTCCTCAGTGAATACTTTTGGGAAATTAGGGTGTGATTTAGACATGTTTTTGGATCTCAGTGAAATTGGAAAAGTCAGCCCTCACAAGGTAATTATATTCTTTTAGACCGTTATAATAATTTGAAGTTAAGACATGAAAATAGGAAATCTTTGGACTTAATAAAATTACAACTACTGATTTTTTTTTTATTATTTCTTTTTTAAAAAAATTTGCTGTATGGTGTGTGCACTCACTGGAGAGAAAGGTGATGGTCACACTGCAGTCCCTTTTCCATTGTCCTCAAGATTTGGGGCATGCACACACATGCACCCAGCATACTTTTAAAGCCACCAGGTGGAAGACTTGAACTTTGTAGTCAGCCATGTGGGGGTTCTGCTGCCCCAACAACTATGCCTCTGACTACCCCGATTATTGATTTTTCTTTTTTTAACATTAATTTTGTGGGTAGCCACCACCACTTTTTTTTTTAAATTTACCTTTGCTTATTTATTTATTTTATTTTATTTTGACCAGAGATGGATAGAGCGAGCACGCGCGCGTGAAAGAGAGAAAGCATGCTGCCAGGTCCGGGACTCAAACCATGGTTGGCCATGTGGAAGTCCAGCACTCTTAACCACCACACCATTTGCTAGCCCCCCTAACTATTGACTTCTAAAGTAAGTAAACATTATGATTGAATGGTAGGTCTGGCGGGCCACCCTTACGGCATAGTGTTTAAGGGGAGCAGATCCCACATGACCGACCATGGTTCAGATTCCAGCATTGGTAGCTGAAAAACAGGCCTGGCTTGTGTCTGTGTGTGCATCAAATCCTGATGGAATGGAGGAGAAAGGTTTGCAATGTGACTATGCATCTTCCTTGTCATTTTCTGGCAATTACATGTTCCCTTTGGCATTTAAAAAAGAAAAAATAGTAGGTCTTGGCTGGTTTTGCAGTACAGTAGATAAGTGCTAGCACGGCAAGCCAGCCACCACGTGGATATCTGCCATTTGAATCCTGGCCCCAGTGACTTGAAAAACACACGCACACACATGCCCTGATGGATGGAGAATTGGAGGGAAAGGGGATCGTGGCATGACCAAACCTTTTGGGGAATTCACTCTTTCTGTCTCTCTCACTCACTCTCTAGTGAGTTCAGGTACCTTCTGGCAATTAATAATTTTCAAAAAAGTCTATTAGATAATTGATTTTTTTGGAATTTTGTGAAGTTTTTATTAGTATCAATGTAATACGTGATTGTTTAAAAAATTTATTATTTTTTAAAATTTATTTTGCTACAGGGTGTGTGTACTTCCCAGAGAGATAGAGAGGGAAAGTGAAAGCAACCCCTGGGGACATGGTCACCAGGCAATAAATATTTTCTCCATTCTTTTAGGATTTTGGTCATGCACATACATGCACCGCACATTTTTTAAGTTGCTGGGTATGGGACTAATTTACTGACATATAGAAATATAAAAAGCTAGTGATTTTTCAAGTTAGTGCTTTATATTCTGGAGAAGCAAAAGATATCTGAGGGTTTTTAAAAGTCTTTTAGTTGTGATTGCGTGAAGAATTTTGTTTATTTTGGGTTCTTTTTGCCAGAAATGATTTTGACCATTCTTTTAGAAAAGTTTATTTTAAAAAAATTCCTTTTTTAAAAAAACTTCTATTTACAAATGTTTTTATTACTTAGACCATAGGAAATTATCTGATGGAATTCCAAGTGAAAAATGTTTCTTCGGAAAGGATTGCAACTCAGAAGATCCTGTCTGTGATAGGAGAATGCCTTGACCACTTTGGCCCCAGTTGTGTGGGTGTTCAAAAAATATTAAACGCTCGGTGCCCACTAGTGAGATTCTCCCACCAGGCGTCTGGATTTCAGTGTGACCTGACTACTAACAATAGGTAACGTTAAGTGTGCCCGTTACTGGATATTACCTCGGCTTTTCTTGTTCAGAATAGTGGCTTTGGATTCTTTTAGACCTGCTTTAATAATTTTTAAAAAGTTTGAACACTGGTTTGAATAGTAGATGAAATCCCTTCTCTTATATCTATTGATAAAGAAAGTGTTAAAATGTTAATGTACCTAGCTAACATAACATCTGAGAACTGTTTTTCATTGTGCTTACTTGTGTAGCGGGAAAGTGTGGAAAGGACCTACTTATAATGCAGGTCTTCTGGGTGTACTTAGAAAATAAAGTGCAACTTCACTTTGACCTCTCAATTGCCTCCAGGTAGCGTTAGCTTTGTGTATTAAATAAATGTGGTCTTTGCTCCATTCAGAAGGTGGTCTGAACAGTTTGAGATGGAATGGTTTTTCTTCAGTATGTATGTGTTATATCATCCTAGCAGCCTGTTTCCCTGTAAACAGTGGGGGGTGGTCGACAGGTTTTTATACTCGAATCACTTTTCCTGGCTTCACAGTAGAGAAAAATTTGGTGGGTTTTTTTTTTTTTTTCTTTTTTTTTGAGAGGTTTTTGCTGTAGGGTACATGTGCTCGCAAGAAAGGCAGAGAGAGAGACAGAAAGCGAGAAATCACACACACACACACACCCCAGGGGGGATGGCCACGCTGCAATCCATTCTCCTTTCGGGATCTTGGGAATGCATGCACACACGCTTACATGAGTTTTAAGCCACCGGGTCCAGGACTCGAACCACAGTCAACTACATGGCAGTCCAGTGACATATCCATTACGCCAGCAGCTGGTCCCAAGAAAAGTTTTTTAATTGAGTTTATTTTTTTAAACACTTGTTCAAGTTTGATTTGATCATATTCTCTATTAGATCAATAATCACAACTGAAAATAGATTCAGAGAATGCAATATAGAGCAGGTTTGATGAAACTCAAGTGTTCACTAATAGGTCAGTGCTATGTACATAATGCATTTTCTCAGCCCATTGAGTAAAGTCTGTATGATTTTTTTGGCCAAATTTTAATTTAAAAATACAATTATGTTTTGTACCTTCTGTCATTTTCTTTCATTTATAATATGTAAAAATACTACAGAATGACATTTATTTTTTATAGTAATATTACTTTCTTTTTTGAGGGAAAAGTTTTTACTATGGGGTGCATGTGCTCTCCAGAAAGGGAGAGACAGAGAGACAGAAAGCGAGAAACCACCCCCAAGTGTTGATGGCCACGCCACAATCCTTTCTCCATTCTCCTCTCAGGATCTTGAGATTCTCCTCTCAGGATCTTGAGCACGCTTGCCCAGCAACGCGCCCGGTGTGAGTTTAAGCCACCAGGTCCGGGACTCGAACCATGGTTGACTACATGGGAGTCCAGCCACATAGCCATTATACCAACTACTGGTCCCATGATATTTTCTTTATCTTGTTGGAACAAGTTTTTAAAATTTTGTTGTAATGTTTTCTTTCAGGTTTCTTATACTCTTGGAATGTTTCTTTGTATCAGATACCTTTCACTATTAGATATTTATTTTTCTGCTTAATTTAATTTCATTTACATACATAAAACACTTCATTCCTATGAATTTCTATTATGCCATTTCTTCTGTTCTCTTTAAATTTAGGATGTTAAATGCCCTGGTAGTACTTTAGTTTTAAGTTGATACTGTTAGATGCTTTAGTGCCCTCTGTCGATTCTTTGAGAAATTACAAGACATATTTTCATTAGTAGGAACTTAGTTAAAAATACTTGTGATTAGTAATTCTTTGAATTTTAACTACAAAACTTATCAAAAATGAGTTTCATAGTTTAATTTTTTAACAGGCACTTTATCTTCAGAGGGTTTTGGTTTTTATAAATCTTAGCTGTGTAGTTTTGTCTGTTATGCACTAGAAGAATTTGAGACTATAGTCTTTCTTGATAAAATGAGTAGAATGTTCCCGTTGTGTTTAGATTATAGTATACCAAAGAACTGGATAACCAAGGTATAAAATCAAAGTGCAAAGACTCATTTATAAGTGCATATATGTTTTTATTGATAGTTATAAAGAATTCTTGTATTATTCACTTATTTAAATCATGTGTAGGAACTTTGATTTAAAAATTCTGAGTTTCAGAACTGTATTTTAATTGTCAGTATTTAAAAGAATATTTTAATGGTAATGAAAGTATTTGCTATTCAGCTATTTACATTATTTTTTTTTTTAAATATTCCTGTAGAGCACGTGTACTCACTGGAGACAGAGGGAGAGAGAGAGAAAGTGAAAAAGCACCCCCTGGGGGACTGCCACAATGCAGTCCCTTTTCCTCCATTCTCTTTGGTATTTTGGGCATGCCTGGCATGTTTTTCAAACTGCTGGGTCCAGGACTCAAGTCATACATTTGGCTGTGTAGTATCCAGCTGCCTTAACTATGCCCTGACTGGTTCTACATTAAATGTTTTAGAAGTTTATTTATTTATTTATGTATTTATTTCATGAGGGACAGAGACATAGCACATACCTCCAATAGTGTCTTCACATTGTCATCTCCTCCCAGCCTCAGCCAGCCCAGAGTACAGGCACACATGTGCTTGGCACAAACAGGGTATCCTTGGAAAGTGGCCCCATTACCTTCCTGCTTGGGTCCAGTTGTGTTACCACTGCTTCACCACACAGTAAATCTTCTGTGGAAATACATAGGCTTTTTGCTATCTGATTATGGTGTTCTGAATACAGCTACAGTAAGATGTTAAATATTCTTTCATGTGCATGTCTTATTTTACCTGTGGATCATAATTTTGAGGTTTGACATTATTATTTTCCTTGTGAAGGATTGCTTTGAAGACTTCTGAGCTCCTTTATATTTACGGTGCCTTGGACTCAAGAGTTAGAGCCTTGGTGTTCAGCGTACGATGTTGGGCTCGAGCGCATTCATTAACGAGTAGTATTCCTGGTGCTTGGATCACAAATTTCTCCCTTACAATGATGGTCATCTTTTTTCTCCAAAGAAGATCACCCCCTATTCTTCCAACACTAGATTCCCTAAAGGCCTTAGCAGGTAAGACTAGACACAGTCTTCTCTCTTTTCTCTTTATGACATGAATGAATATAATTACCATGAGTTTTCAAAGCCATGCGTATTTATTAGTCATTTTCCTTGATAAATGTTGTTTGATAATATTTTCGCTTAGTATCCGTCTACTTTTTTCTCTATGACAGATTAGGAATTTGAGGAGGAAATGACCAGGTAGTCTCGTCAGCAGTATTGATGCAAGGAAGCCAGTGTGGGATCGAGCTTCAGTTTGTAACTCTAGATGACTCAGTAAGATTTTATGAAGTGCTAGCTCCTTACTAGGCACTTATCTAAAAAATTCATGTTATTTAGCCCTCCCATCAAACCTTATGAGATAGCATTATTATTTTCATCATATAGATGAGGAAACTGTAGCTTTCTGAAGCTACCTAAATTGCCCAAGATCACATAATCAGAAGATGCTAGAGTTAGGATTCAAACCCAGGTGCGTTTCAGAGCTTATCCCTTTTTTCCTGACTGAAATGAACACAATAGGGTCAGCAGGTGACACGGTGGTTAAGGGGCTGGACTCCACATGGCCAACCACAATTCAAATCTCACACCTGGTGGCTTTGTTTCTCACTTTCTTTCTCCTTTGTTCTCTCTCTGATGAGTACATGTGCCCTATGACAAATTTTAAAATAATAATAATAAATTAATATTTTAAATAAAAAGAAGTGTGAGTATATACAGGCATATGTGTGTGGATTTTAATACACTGAATTCATCATATAACCACCAGTTCCAGCTGTGCCCCGTTTTAGTTACTACCCCCGCTCCACAGCCCCTCCTAACAGTTGATTTTCACCTGTTGATGTCATTTAATGTAAAAGGCTTCATATAGTATGCATTCTTTCGTATCTGGTGGCGCTTTCCCTTTCAACATTATGTTTAAGAAATTCATTCATATTTTTTAGTGAACCATTCAGTTCCATTGCTGTATTCTATGGATATATGAGAAAGTTTTTAGTTCTATTTTTAATGGACATTTGAGCGATTTGTAGTTTGAAACTAATATAAGTCCTTACTGGTATGAACATCCTGGCACATGTGTTTTGGTGACAGTGGGTATTCGTGGGCAGCTACTCCTAATTCTTAGCTGATTCACTTGATATTTTAGCTGTTTTTAAATCAAATGCTTGAATTAATTACTGTTTCTTGACTTTTGGGTTTAAGTACCATTTGTCTTCCTTTTATTGAAGAGGAAGAATTGACTCTTCTTCTGAAGCCCCCACACCACACCTGTCTTTTCTATCACTTACATTCTGACTATAGCTAGATCATAATTTTGGCATGTATCCTTTACGTGATTAAAACTGTAAATATATCCGTGTCTCATCCATGTTATACCATTATTAGTTATCAAATTAATTCCATTTTTGCCCACCTTTTTCTATTCTTTGAAATGAATGGTTTTTAATACTACTTATTGTCTTAGTTTTTTGGTTTGCTTAGTTATTTATGTACTTAACATTAATTGAATCTCAGACTTTTTCTCAGTTTTCTAAATCTTTTCTCCAAATATTCAAGGAAATCAAATATTTTATTTTTGTTTTTTTCTTGTTTACCTAGCCTGTTTTTTTCTAAATAGTATTTTGGTTTTTTTTAACTTCATTATGTGTAGTTTCATGTTAGGAATTCCTCATATAGTTGATAAGCCTAAGCCAATGTCTGATCCTGCCACCTCCCCCCATACATATTAAACAATCTGCATTAATTAGTATTGCAGAATTGTCTCTTCACTTCTCCCATTTAATGACTACTGACTCATAGCATCCTGCTAATAATCATGTTATAGAAGCTGAATATAGTTACTTATATAATTTTTTGCTATTCAACTTTAACTTCAGTACAGTTTTGATAAAAGTATATTATTACACGGTGTTTTTTCACAAGGGGAAATATTAAGGGCTGACCCTGTAGCCTGGTTGGTTAAGGGAACCAGATCCCACGTGGCTGACTGTGTGGTTCGAATTCTCCTCCAGTGGCTTGGGAAATACAGGTGTGCAAGCATGCACTAAATCATAACAGGATGGAGAAATGAAGGAGAAGGGATGGTGGTTTGACCATGCCCCGTGGGGGTATATTCTCACTCTCCCTCTCTTTCTTTCTGTTTGGTGAGCTCTCCTCTGACAAATTGAGAAAAAAGCATATGTTAAGCCTTTGTATGAACTCGATTTATTCACGTGTGTTATCAGTTCTAGTTGTATGTTAAAAATATGCGGGGCTGAGACATGTTGATTTCTGCTGACTTGACCATAAAAATTAGCCTTAAAAATTGTGTAGCCCATAGATAAGATTTTACCATAGTCCCCAGTAATCCAGAAATACCAGTTATTTCTAACAGTAATCTGTATGACAAATTACAAATTATTATACTGCGATACTGTTCTGAGAGTTCATATTTGCTTATGAATTTTTGCCAGTGTTTCATACAACAGAGGAAGGAGCCACGGGATTAAGCTCACTGATAGAGTGAGATATACCTGAAGGGGCTGTGAACCTGTTTTCTAAGTCAGCACTGTCCCACAGAACCTTGCACTAGTGGAAGTGTTCTGTGTGTGCTGCGCATCCTGCTGCCTTAGCCATCTGTTGCCTGTTAGGCACTTGTAATATGGCTACAGCAATTGAAGCACCAATTTTTATTTATTTATTTTTTTTAGAGAAAGAGAGGTTTTTGCCATAGGGTGTGTGCGCTTGCGGTAGAGAGACAGAGACAGAAAGTGAGAAATCACCCCCTGGGGGGATGGCCACACTGCAGTCCCTTTACCTCTAGTCTCTTGGGATTTTGGACACACAGGCACATGCACCTGGTGTGAGTTTTAAACTCCCAGGCCCTGGATTCAAACTGCAGTTGACTACATGAGAGTACAGCGACATAACCATTATGCCATCTGCTGGTCCCAAAGAACTAACATTTTAAGTTTAACCATATATTAGCCACAGGTGGCTAGAGGCTATTGTATTTGTGTAGGTGTGGTCCAGGCGGTATTATAGTGGCAAAACAGGAGGAAGAAAATGAAGCGGGAAATTTACAACCAAACTGTTAGGTTTGAATGCTTTAGGGGATTGGAAAAACGAAGATGGCCCTGTGTTAAATTGGCATATTTTCCTTAATGTTTTCAATCGTTTCTTTTAAAACTTAACATATTTCTAGAATATTTTAATGTGGATCTCCTTTTCCTATGTTAGCAATGTCTTCACTGAGGATTCATTCCTGAAAAAAGATACAGTTAGCTAAGAGAGCATCAATATATTGGGTTGTCAGGAAAGCCACGATGCATTTTTGCATGGAAAAAAATATGCCATGACTTTCCCGATAACCTAATATTTTTGACTAGTATGTTTATGTCTAGACTGAGTCACAGCATATATACACAGTTGATAAGTTGAAATAGGAAAATGTGTGCCCAGGTACCATAAAGGTGTATTTCAGTAGAACTACATATGTTTTCAGTGTACTGTAAATTGTATGGAAAAACATAAAAAATTTGTATTAAAATTAACCTAAGGTAATTTTGGAGAAATTATGTCAGTAACTCAGGTCTTAACAGAAAAATAATGGGGAAAAAAAACACACACAAAATGGGAGATAACAGTTTTTTTTAAAAAAGAATTATTTTGTTCAGCTTTATTTATTATTATCTTTTAAATTTGACCTGGGAAAGTGAGAAAGCAAGCTACTAGGTTTGGGACTTGAACTGCGGTTGACCATGTGGGAGTCTGTGGAAGTTCAGTACCTTTAAACACCACACCATCTGCCAGCCCCATGGGAGATAACAGTTTTAAGGAACCTTGTTTATCTCTTTCTAATTTTTCTCTGGTGATCATAATCACCATTCAAAATTACACAATCCACAGTCATTCAGATTATTGCTTACGTGCCTGCAGTATGCTAGATACTGTGCTTGTGGCCTCACCTTGGGGGAAGAGGTAGCGGTGACTAGGACAGTAGTAGCCTTCGTAGTCCCCGACCTGGTGCAGAAGAGTAGACAGCACGTGATAGTGAATTCACAGTGCAGTCAGGTAAGTGCAAACAGCAGGTGGAGCAAAAAGGATGGAGCCTGCGCCTAGAATTCACAAATAGCTTCCTGATGGCAGGTGGCCATTGGTTGGGTTTTTGAACAGCAGGAGTTTGCTCTTCCTTCAAAAGAGCATATTGTATATCATATATTGGGAGTAGGTTTAGAGTGGGCAAGGGATTTCATGTGGCTGCATATTTATACATAACAGGAAAATAATTACCTCTAAAAATATAAATACCAGTAAGGAAGATGAATGCTGAGGTGCAGTGTGCTATTACTGACTTTGACGTACTGAATTCCAGTCACTCTAGAGCTCTGCATTTTAGATATTACCTGAAGTTTTAAAACTTTATAGAACATTCAGTTTGTGTCATATATGAATGACTGAGTAAGTACATTAAAAAAATAGTAAAATAGAAGTGGAAATGTAAATTAAGATACTGCTAGTACCAAAATTTGCTTTATTTGGGAACTTGTACATTTTTACCTACTAGTAGAAAGCAAATTACCTGAAAAAAATAATTAGAAATCATTGAATTGTTGATAGACAATAATTTTAGTATGGTAAAGTAAATGTAATGTAAATTCACTGTAGTATAATTTTGAATAATTTTTAAATGTAGTTTTATATCCTAGTAACCATCAACGTAATTAGAACACTGACTAGTAATAAGACATATTAACCTATAACTTGATTTATTTAAATTATGGATTCCTTTTCTGAAGTAGGGAGTATCTTTGAAATACAAATACAACGGAGGGACCAGCAGTTGGCTTAATGTCCATGTTGCTGGACTCCCATGTAGTTGACCGCAGTTCGAGTCCTGGTGGCTTAAACTCACACCGGGCACGTGTGCATGTGTGCCCTCTCCTGAGAGGAGAATGGAGGAGAAGAGATTGTGGTGTGGCTGTCTCCCCTGGGGGGTGATTTCTCACTTTCTGTCTTTCTGGCAAGCGCACGCACCCTATAGCAAAAAACCTCAAAAAAAAAAAGAGAGAGAAAGAAAGAAATACAATGTGAAATGTTTTTTCATTTCTGTTTATTTAAGATGCAGAAGATAAATGTATAATAGAAGGCAACAACTGTACGTTTGTTTGTGACTTGAATAGAATTAAGCCTTCAGGAAACACAGAAACACTAGGTAAGATTTTTTCTTTTTTTAAAAAAAATTCTTATTGAAACAAACTTTACTCTTATTCTTGTTTTATTTATTTATTTATTTATTTATTTATTTATTTTGCAGAGTCACTGCTGATAGAATTCTTTGAATATTTTGGCAACTTTGCTTTCAACAAAAATTCCATAAATATTCGACAGGTAAATATTTTAATATTTATTAGGTATCTGTTTATCTTCAGTACCAATAATTAGTTAAGTATTATTACTTTCGTTTCCAAAGCACCTAACAAATGTTATTCCATTTTAACTCTGCATTAATAGGTAGCAGTAAGAAAATTGATGCTTGGGGGAGCTATGTACCTTGACTATAGTTCTTGAGAAGAGCAAAAGCAGCTTTCTTTTTTTTTTAAGAGAGTTTTTTTGGTATAGGGTGCATATGCTCTCTAGACAGACAGAAAGCGAGAAATCACTCCCTGGGAGTATGACCTCACCACAATTCCTTGTTCTCCATTCTCCACTAGCACATGTGCCCAGCATGAGTTCCAAGCTGCTGGGTCCAGGACTTGAACCATGGTCGACTACATGGGAGTCCAGTGACATAACCATTACACCATCTGCTGGTCCCAAAAAAGCAACTCTTCTAACATCTGCCTTTGTTGCTTCACTATAGTACTTCTGTCATCGGTGCTAATACCCTTCCAAATGTGCAATGTATTCTAGAAGGGTTTCTGGCAATACAGATTTACATGCAGATTACAGTTGTTTTTAAGTTGGATTTTTGCTCCTGTGGAAAACATTTAATAAAGGTCCTAAAGGTAGATTCTAGTGATTTCTTTAGTTTGAACCCTCAGGATTTAATTTATTTAGAGCAAATGAACTTATGATTTGGATTCTTCTGAGTAGCTGGCATGATAAATATTTTTCTAAAGAAGAAAACCAGTCAAGGCGGAACCCTAGGCAAAGTTTATTTATAAGTAGAGGACACTTGTGATAGCTCTCTATTTGGTTTTATTCTGTCTAGCACTTGGATAATTGATTATAAACCTTATAAGATGGCTTCATGAAATAGGTCCAGATGCACATTTTTGTTGTTTATTCAGCTCGCTCTCTTTTTATTGTTTCATATCTCTTACCCTGCCTGTAGAAACTTTGATAAAATAAAAATATAGGGGTCTTGGGACCAGCAGTTAGCATAATGACTATGTTGCTGAACTCCCATGTAGTTGACCGCGGTTTGAGCCTTGGACCCAGTGGCTTAAACACGCCGGGCGCATGTGTGTGCGTGCCCAAGATCCCGAGAGGAGAATGGAGGAGAAGGGATTGTGGCGTGGCCATCCCCCCTGGGGGGTGATTTCTCGCTTTCTGTCTCTCTGTCTCTCTCCATCTCTGGCGAGTGCATGCGCCCTGTAGCTAAAACCTCTCAAAAAAGAAAGGGGGGGGGGTCCTGGTCCCCTAGCACAGTGGGAGAGAACTATAGTCATTTTGCAGTTTTCAAAATAGGGCATAGGGAGCCAGATCCCACACAGCCGACTACAGTTTGAATCCTGGTCCTGGCAGCTTGCAAGACACACTAGGTGTGTGCACATTCCCCAAATCCTGATGGAGATATAGAGGAAAAGGGGTGCAACATGGCCACACTCTGTTGGGGGTGTTTTCTCTCTGGCGAGTGCATATACCTTCTGGCAATTAAAAAAAAATCACATAGGGATGGGGGAGGGAAGGGATACAGAATAATAGAAGAAAAAGGTCACCATACATATATATATATATATTTTTTTGCTATAGGTTTCGTGCGCTTGCCAGAAAGACAGAGACAGAGAGACAGAAAGCGAGAAATCACCCCCCAGGAAGGATGGCCATGCTGCAATCCCTTCTCCATTCTCCTCTCAGGATCTTGGGCACGCATGTACAAGCACCTGGCATGAGTTTAAACCACTGGGTCTGGGACTCGAACCATGGTCGAATATGTGGGAGTCCAGCAACATAGCCATTATACCAACTGCTGGTCTCGATGATGTTTTATTTTAAGATTTATATATTGGGTTGTCAGAAAAGTCATGATGCATTTTTTCATAGAAAAATAATTTAAAAATTTATTATGACTTTTTCAACAACCCAATAGTTTTAGCTCTTTTTTTTTTTTTTTGGAGAGGTTTTTGCTACAGAGCACGTGCGCTCACCAGAAAGACAGAAAGAGACAGAGAGACAGAAAGTGAGAAATCACCCCCAGGGGGGATGGCCATGCTGCAGTCCCTTCTCCTCCATTCTCCTCTCGGGATCTTGGGCACGCACACACACACACACATGCCCAGCGTGAGTTTAAGCCACGGGGTCCGGGACTCAAACCGCAGTCAACTACATGGGAGTTCAGGGACATAGCCATTATGCTAACTACTGGTCCCACAAATTTCTTTATCCTTTTTGGATGCGGGACTGAGATGGCAGGCAAAATCCCTACTGAGCAGTAGCCTGAAAGAAGTTAGGGAATAAGAGAGGCTGCTTGCATTGGAAAGTCTCGGCCATTGCCTTTGTAATATTTAAGTAAGATTTGTGTTACCACCTGAAGGAGGAAAAGATAGGTAGACTAATGACTTACTGCTGTCATTTCATTTATAGCTTGCTTTTCTTTTAATTTCTGTTGAGGTGTTGCCTATGGCAGAGTTTTATTGTTGCATCTGTAGGAATGTAATAGAAACTTTTGTTTTAAATGAATGCATAAGAATAACCCATTGTTTCTTCTCTTCCTTTATTCCACCCTTGGGAAACAGCCATTAGTATATTTAACTCAGAGATTCTGATTTCATGTGTTTCTGTTCTACCATAATATTACTTTTTTTTTTACTTAAAATTTTTTAAAATTTTATTTAACTTTATTTATCATTATCGTTTTCACTTTGACTAGAAAAGAGACAAGAGAGAAGGGAGAAAGCAAGACTCCAGGTTCAGGACTCGAACCATGGTTGGCCATGTTTGAGTCCAGCGCCCTTAACCACCACACCATCTGCCCGTTCCCCTAATGATAAAATTTTTTTAGTAGGTCTCAAAAATATATCTTCATCTTATTTTCTGCCATGTTTCTTTCCTTCCCCCCCACCCCCTTCTAGCTCTATCTTGTTAGGTAAAAATTATGTTATTGAGACTGGGACCAGCAGTTGGCATAATGGCTATGTTGCTGGACTCCCTTGTAGTCGACCGGAGTTCGAATCCCAGACCCAGAGGCTTAAACTCATGCCCGGCAAGTGTGAGTGCATGCTCAAGACCCCGAGTGGAGAATGAAGGAGAAGGGATTGCAATGTGGCCACCTCCCCAAGGAGTGATTTTTCTCGCTTTCTGTCTCTCTTGTCTCTCTCTGGCAAGCACACGCGCTCTATAGCAAAAACATCTCAAAAAAAAAAAAAAAAAAAAAGACTTTTATTGGGGTACTTAGTCCACTGTTTGTCCAAGCAGTGATATCATAAGCTTAAGTTATTTTTCTCCAAAAAATACTCATAAATCTACAGTGGGAAAAAAGTCACAGGCCCAGTCATGACAGTGCAGGTGGTGGGGCACTGCTGCATGATGCTGGAGCCATACAGGAGGGCCTGGGGTTTGGATTCCCAGTTAACTGGAACACACCCTTGAACCTGGAAGTCTGGGGATTACAGTGTGGTGGTGAAACCCTGCTGGAAATGTCTTTGTCTTCCTTCCTTCTTCCCTCTCTTTTGCTTATGAAATGAAGTCAGAAGTAAACATAAACGTAACATACATATACATACTCACATATATATAAGCAGCTTCCTTAAGAAAAAAACTTTAGGGACCAGTAGGTGGCATGGTGGTTAAGGTGCTGGGCAGTCCCACATGGCCGACCATGGTTCGAGTCCTGGACCTGGTGGCTTGCTTTCTCACTTTCCCTCTCTCTCTCTCTCTGTGTCTCTCTCTCTGGCTGGAATAAAGTAGATGAGTGAACAAATAAAGTTAAATAAATAATTTTTTAAAAAGAAAGAAACTTTATAGTTAGTGCTGCTGTTTTATGTGTTCGACATTTTATTAAGTTAACCAAACTTTTTATATTTAAACCCTTCATATGTTATGTGTATTTTACATTTTTTTCTTCTGTAATAATCTTTAGGGAAAAGAACAAAACAAACCTGACTCTTCTCCTCTGCATATTCAGAATCCTTTTGAAACTTCTCTCAACATTAGCAAAAATGTGAGTCAAAGCCAACTGCAAAAGTTTGTAGACTTGGCCCGAGAAAGTGCCTGGATTTTACAACAGGAAGATAAAGATAGACCTTCTCCGTCAAGTAATCAGCCCTGGGGGCTGGCATCCCTACTGCTGCCGTCTGTGATAAATAATAAGTCTCTTGCTGGGAAGAAAAGAAAAAGGCCTGCAAGTGAACGAATTAAAAACTTGTTAGAGTCCCTAAAAGGTAACAGTTCAGAAGATTCCACAAACACCAATGGGAAAAGAACAGTCAGTACCCAGGCATAATGGCTGTTACTTTGCTTTAAGAAGCAGTCTTATCCTACGAAATGGCCTGTGGGCTACCTGGAAGACCGGTGTGAAACTTGTATAGGCTTCAACTTTGATCTGATGTCACTTTTCACGATCGTCTCATTGGCCCCTTTTACCTGGTCTGAAGTTCTGGTACACTCTCAATCTGATGAATACTCAGTGGCACTTTATTAAAACATCGGCCATCAGGAATAAGTAAAAGAAGATTAGACGGTACTTTCAACTAAATGGTTAAACTATGCAGAATGAATGGTAAAAATCATTTAAGCATCAAACTTTTGTTGATACCATACCCGTCCCTGATTAGAAAACATTTAAAAGGACTTCGAGTTGTGTACATTATGTAGACAGTGAATGCAATAAAGCTTCAAAATTTGGTAGAACTCTTTAGTACGTATTTTTGTATTTTTTAAGCATTGTACATATATATTAAAAGACGTTGGTACTGATAATCAAAAATGTTTGTTTTTAAAATATGAATGCAGACACTTAGACCACATTCTAAGTATTCTAAGCTAAATATATAGGAATTCTAATGTATTGCTTTAAAATATCATTTAGCTTTTTTTTTAAAAAAATAAAACCCTGTTTCTACTAAAATGGGATATTCCCAGTATTCCTTTACTTCTTGTTAGAGAACTCGCTGCTGCGTATAGAAAATAGATATATCGAACTGTAACTTCCACTGCATAGCCGGTGGTGTAACTTTCCATTTTAGAAGCAGATGTGTAATGTAGTGTTTAAAAACGGACTAGAGCTCCATGGCAAGTCACTCAAGAGTCCCATTTGTTTTCATCTGTAAAGTGGGGATGATAATGCTGCCCACTTTAGCTGATGGTTGCAAATATTTAGGTAAGTTCTAGGGCAGGAGCGTGGCACATAAATGTTATTTCTTTTTAGCTAATACTTCTCAGTGTTTGTGGTATCTAATTATTTTTCTTGCTACTTAGAATTCAGATTTATTCTGTCATCAGAAAAGTCATGTTGTATTTTTCTGTTATTCTATGTAAAAATGCACCATGACTTTTATGAAAATAGTGGTTTTTAAAAGGTTTCCATTTACATTTTAGCTCAGAAATGCTAATGGATGCTTCCTGGAATATTTTGAGAAACTCAGTAAAGTTCTGAGGCGAGTAAATTCTGTGACTGTCCGTGCTGTTTGATTTCATGTTCGCACCAACAAACAGGCCAGTGCTCTCTTACACAAGCAATAGCTTTGAACTAAAGATTTTCTCATTTGTTTTTTAAACTTGGGTTAGAAATCTATATTGATTTCAAAAGTTTAGAAAATATTTAAAAGTAACGAAGGGGTTCTTTTTTTAAAGAATTATTATTATTATTATTATTATTTTTGGAGAGGTTTTTTTTTTTTGCTCTAGGGCACATGTGTTCACCAGACAGACAGACAGAAACAGAGAGATAGAAAGCGAGAAATCACCCCACCTCCCCCCAGAGGGGATGGCCACGCCGCAATCCCTTCTCCATTCTTCTCTTGGGATCTTAGGCATGCACACACATGTGCCCAGCGTGAGTTCAAGCCACTGGGTCCGGGACTTGAACCGCAGTCGACTACGTAGGAGTCCAGTGATATAGCCATTACGCTAACTGCTGGTCCCATTATTTTTTAAATTTGCTATAGGATGCTTATGAGAGCGAGAGAGAAAGTGAGAAAGCAAGCCATTAGGTATAGGACTTGTCTGAGTCCACACCTTAATCACCACACCACCCAACTAAGTGTTTCTAAATGAGATTTTTTTTCCTTTATGGATTTTTAAAAAAAATATTCATTTAATCACTATATATCACTATAGCTTTTAAAGTGAATTTACCCAACATGAATGCACTTCTCACTAATCCAGTTGAAGATACTATACATGTTACCATCAGCAGATAATCATCCATTTCTGTGTCCCATAAATGTCTTGCCTCTCTATTTTTCTCCTTGATTCTTTTCCTCTCACACTTCCCACAGTTTCCAGAGTCCGTAACCACTTTCTATGCTTCTGTATCCTCTAATCTCTCGGTTTCCTCCATAGAATGAGAAGAGTCAGTATTAAGTGGAGACATGTCTCTCCTTCTTAGCCTGGCTTGCTTCACTAAGTAGGAAACTTCCATGTTCATCCACTTTTTTTTTCTTTTAATTTATTTACATTCATTCACTATATATCATTACAACATACAAAATGAGATTTCCCATCCAGAATACACTGTAAATTGACAGTCAAGCACATCAACATACGTGTAATCAACAAATAATTTTCCATTTCTTATTTCCTGTATATTTTGCTTTATTTTGCCATTCTTGATTCCCTATTCCTCACCCTCTGCCATGTTGCACCCTCCTCCCACATTGTCTCTGGTATCCATGGTGCTTTCTATGCCTTTTCCCATTTAATTGATTCACTAATGAACTTAATTAGTCTAAATATTTCCAATAGCTAGCACAGCTGATATGTACATATACATGAACACTAGTCTGACTTTAGGCATAAATCTCAGTGAGTAGAATGAACATACTATAAAGTAGCACCTAGTTGGGGCTATATAGTTTATTGCAGTCATCAAATACGCATTTTTTAAAAAATTTCAATAAAAACAGTTTTCATGATTTTTTTTCTCCTAAAACTTTTTTTTAATTAATTAATTTACATTCATCCCTTAAGCATCGTCATAACATACCAAATGTGGTTTCCCATCTAGAATAAACTGCATAGTGGCTTAATCCTGCATGTTCTCATCAATAATTTTCCATTTCTAGTTTCATATATATATATATTATGTATATATATATATTATATATATGTTT